GTGCTTAAACTCATTTTTCTCTTAATTCACCCCAAAACGGCCTTAAAATTAGGTCGACAGTATCAACCAATAAAAATATGACACATTCATGTTAAGTTGTTTATTAAAGCGATTTAAAGATGTTGAGTAAGCACGTTTGATCGGTTGATCTCGGTTGATCAAGTTGTTTATTTTTTTTTCCTCATATTCTCTTAGGTCATTGGTTCTAGACTCATTAAGAGTACTTCTCTTTCTTTTTCTAGTCATTCTTTTCCTTCCCTCTAGGTAGAATTAAAATTAAATTTAGAATTTTAAAATTATTGTACCATGAAAGTATTTTTTATCGAGTATCGATTGATTTAGCAGGATGAGATGTTAGATTTTGAATCTTAATAGTATGAATGGAATAAATTGAGTTAAAGAATCGTTCTTATTACCTAATCTTAATTAGTTAATTAATAAGTCAAATGTGGGTAGTTATACAAGAAATTGGAAAAAATAATTGTTTGTTTAGGTACCTCTTTTGAGTTGAAGATATTTTGCAAGGGTTTCAATGGTTTATTTTGTGATCAAATTTTGATTATTTTCTTCTCTACACGTTGGATGATATAGGCCATTGGGTAGTTGGTTTATATTGTTCAATTGTTATTCTCATTTATGTCACAACTGCAATGGATGGTACATTGAACTTAAATTCCTTCACATGATGTAGATGATGGACTGAATTGTTCAAATTCAAAATATAGAGGCTTCTTTGAGGGGAAAAATCAAAAGGGGCATTTTTTTTAAATGCAAGTATCTTTCTTTATAGGACAACTGTAGGGACGGTTAATGAGATGAGCAGTTCGTGAATTGTTCGAACTCGACTTAATTAAAATTTGATCAATGTTTGATTAGAATTTGACTTGAGCTTGACTCGAGATCTTAATGAGTTGAATCAAATAAGGTTTAGCTCGACTCGATAAGTTTGCGAGCAATTCATTCAATTTTTTAATAATTACCTTAAAAATATTCCATTTTAAAAAATCTAAATAATAATGACTAATTTACTAATAGATGATAAAAAAGATGCTAAATTATTAATTAATTATTACTACTAATTTATTAATCTATTAATATTTTAATAAACAATAAGAAAATATTAAATCGTTAATTATTACTTTATTATACCCAAAATCAAATCCTAATTATCCTATAAAAAGTTTTGATAAGTTTAATGAGTAGCGAGTTGATTGGAACAATAATTTTTTTAACGAATACGAATACATTAAAACTTTAATGAACAAGTTTAATCGAGCAATAAACTTTTTTAACGATATAAATTGAATATTGCTCAACTCACGATTTACTCAATCGATAAACATAATCAGTTGTATGATTGTAAGTAGGGAGCTTTTAGATGTACGAAGGATCCATCAGTTTCATGTTAGGCAATGAATCAAATCGAATGCCATTTCAGTTCTTCAGTGGGACCATATATACACATAATTAATGATCAGTTTAAATTTGCTGTAGTCTTATATAAAGTAAAAATATATCATATATATATTTTCCACGCATTATTTCCATTCGGCGAACTAACACCTTATGACTTGTCTTCATCCACGCCAATTCTAAGATTTGTCAAGGCTCTCAACCCACACCACATTCGATCGAGTCGAGTTAAAAGATTTTGAGTTATTCGAGTTAACGAGTCCTATTTTAGGACTCGGAGTTGACTTGAAATTTTTCGAGTCGAGTCAATTTTTTGAGTTTCTATTTAAATTTAATTGTAAATATTTACAATATTATAACATTATTTTATTCTAACTCAAATGTTATTTTATAACTATATACAATACATATATATATTTTCATATTTTTTTCATATGCAATTTATATATATCATACAAAGTTGAGGGACTCGACTCATGCTTTGACTGAACTTGAAAATCAATCTATTAATTACTAAAAAATTCAAGTTATTCGAGTTATATTTTACAACTCGATTTGAACTTAATTTTTTTAGTCGAGTCGAGTTTATGAAATTACAACTCAAAGTCAATTAGAGTCGAATTTTTTCAAGTCGAGTCGAAAATATCAATTTTTTGAGTCGAGTCGAGTATTGCTCACCCCTAATCCGGACATCATTCCAGCAATCCTTTTAAGTGATTGTAAATAGAATCGAATCCTTCCATTTATACTTCGATTTTTGGAACGAGAACATAGTTTATCTTTCTATATCACCATATTAAAATCAATTTTCATAAGAAATGCTTCATTTTAATGTTAAAATCGTTTCACTCCTAATTTAGTAATTTTAAGAGGTTTACGAAAGTCCTCTTATTTCACAATATTAATATTATTAAATTTTTATATGGAACGAGTATAAATAAATTTTAAGAGACATAATCAATAATATAAATGATTAATTAAAAAATCAAATTTTAAAATAAATATTTATCCATTCTAAGTCAGTCGAGAATTCACTACTGCTTCTTTTTTTTTAATTAATCACTGATATTCGATCTATTGACCGACTAATTTAGATCGGATACTGAAGAGGTGAGGACGACCCTCCCAACTCAGTTTGCTCTATTCGCAAACGTCAAAATTCGAACATCATACCTTACTTAAAGGACATAATGTCTCATCCTACTAAACCAACTAGTTGTTAGTCACCACTACTTCTTAAATAACAATGATATTGTAAAAAAATATTTATCTCCGAAATAAAATTAGTTTGGTTCACCAAAATCCATCACATCCGTAAAGGTTTAAGAATATGTGATAAGCAGGGACGTATCCATGATAAAAATTCAGGAGTTGCACAAAAAAACTCTTATAAAGTTTTTTTTAGAGGTTGCACAATATTAGGGGTGATACTTGTATTAATTAAAAAAATTAGAAAAAATTAACATTAAGTAGATAATTTTGAGGCCTTGAGGGGTTGCCCGAGATACCCATGGCACCATGCTGGTCCACCCGTAGTGATAAGATTAAAAAAACATGTTTTTTTACAAAGATATATCCATATTTTTATGTATACTTGATTTGATTTAATTTAGTTCAACATGAATTCACCAAATATCTAAGGTTGACCTAAATTGAAAACGTTTGATCCGATATTGACTTGACTCGAAAACTAACCAATTTAATTTGAGCCATCTTGAAAATTAACCGATCTAATATTAACTTGAACCGAAAATCATCTGATCTAATATTAACTTGATCCGATATGTAACCTGACCCAACTTATCATAGACCTGAATAAACCCAAATTCGAAATAACCCGATCCGACCAAAATCAAATCTAAAATTAAAGTGATCCTAACCGAAATACTCCCACCCGAATGACTAGTTTACCACATCTAAGGGAAACTTAGTTGTTAACCTGACGTCATTTTCCTTCGCATGGTAATGTAGCGGTAACTTCACCCTTAAGGGCCCATTAAACGCCTCGGCTTTGACCGCTCTCCAAAACGCACCTCCCTAATAAATAGTTTACCGACACGTTTACTTCACCGCATTTTGATCCCCGCCGCTCAGCGTCATCTTCCCTATAAAACCACACTCGCTCTCTCTCCCAAGTTCAACGCCAGAAAGACCACACCAATCCCTTTGATCAAATTCTTATTTGCAAGAAAAGAAGCAGCAGCAAACGTTCATTTCCCATGGCTCAAGGAGTCTGCTCCAACATCAAACATGACATGGTAAATTCTTTATAAGATTTATTCCTTTTGTATTTTCTGTTGTTGGGTTTTCTTCATTTTGGATTTTTTTTTTGTTAAAAAAAATTGATTGGATTTTGGAAGGCTAAAGAGGAAGAACAACAGAGGCTGAAATACTTGGAATTCGTGCAAGTAGCGGCTGTCCATGCCGCCTTGTCTTTCACCAACCTTTACCTCTACGCTAAGGAAAGATCGGGACCGTTGAAGCCCGGCGTCGAGACCGTCGAGGGAACCGTTAAGAGCGTCGTTCGACCGGTTTACGACAAATACCATGATGTCCCCGTTGAGCTCCTTAAATTCGTTGATACCAAGGTAAAATGTTCGGTTGACAAACTAAAAATTAGTACCCAAAGACTGATTTGTTGTTGTTGTTTATTGCACAGCTTGATGAATCTGTCACCAAGCTTGATCGTCGAGTCCCACCAGTCATCAAACAGGTCTCCTCCGAAGCCATCTTGGCCGCCAAAAAGGCTCCACATGTGGCTCACGGCGTGGCTTCCAATGTCCACCGTGTCGGGTTGTGGACACTGCCTCGGGATATGCCAAATCCTTGTACGCCAAATATGAACCCTCAACAAAAGAGCTTTGTGCGAAGTGCGAATCCAAAGCCGAACAATGTGCAGTTTCGGCTTGGCGTAGACTCAATCAACTCCCTCTCTTCCCTCAAGTCGCGTCCGCTGTCGTCCAGACATCGGCGTATTGCGCCGAAAAGTATAACCAGAAGGTGGTTGGCGGTGCGGAGAAAGGGTACAAGGTTGCTTCGTGTTTGCCCTTGGTTCCTACTGAGAAGATTGCCAAGGTGTTCGGTGAACAGAGAACTGAAACGGAGCCATTAATGTCCGAGAGAATGTGTAACGTTTTTAAGGACTAAAATTGTTATTATACTATATCATATCATTATTTTGGTAAGTTAATGGTCAAATATAACGATAAATGATTAAAACAAAAATATAATGTAATATTAAATATAATTTTAAAAAATATAATTTTAAAAAATATAATTAGATGATTAAAATAAAAATATAAAAATAAATAGATGATCATATAGATAATTTATGGAAATATACAAAACAAGTTACATCAATACAAATGGTGAACGGAGTTGGATGGAGGCAATTTCCCGTGCCGCTCTACTGCCAAAGATTCGATAACTTAGCCCTTAGGAACCCTTAAAGGTTCAAACGCATCGGCGTGTACCGCTCTCCATAAGGAAAACGCCCCCATAGTAACTGACCGACACGTTTCTTCACCGCTTCTTAATCTCCGCTGCTCATCTTTTCTCCCACAATTCAACACTGAACCAATCCCTTTGATCTCTTCTCCAATTACTCTTCGAAAGAAAAAGAAAGAAAGAAGAAGATAGTCTTAAAATCAACTGTTCATTTCATGGCTCAAGGAAACTCCGACTTCCAACAAGACATGGTATTTCCGTTAAAGATCTGTCTTCCTTTTTACTTGAGTTAGTTATCATAATTTTATTCAATTTCGTTTTTATTGATTTTTTTTGTTCCTATTGTTTTGATTTGAATTTGAAAGGCTAAAGATGAACAAGAACAGAGGTTGAAATACTTGGAATTCGTACAAGTAGCCGCTGTCCACGCTGCTTTGTGCTTCGCCAATCTTTACCTTTACGCTAAGGAAAGATCGGGTCCGTTGAAATCCGGCGTCGAGGCCGTGGAGGAGACGGTTAAGAGCGTGGTTCGACCGGTTTACGACAAATACCGTGATGTCCCCATTGAGCTCCTTAAATTCGTTGATACCAAGGTAATCTCTTTGCTTCGTTCTGGGTTTTAATGACGATGAGTAAATTGCGAGTATGTAGCTTGAAATACAAATCGGTAATTGTCATATGGAAAATGCCATTCAAAATTTATGATGTCTTAACCATTTGGAAAAAGGTTGATTTCTTGAATCAAATACATGTAGTGGTTGAGATGCAAAACTGTGGTTTAATCAAAACTCGAAAATGACTCAATCCGAAATGATTTGAACATATTGACTGAGAATTGTGAAATGTCTGCAACTAAATGACCAAACTCGAAATGAATTAAATCTTAAATGATTTTAATCCGGAATTATCTGAAAAATTTTATAATATGAACTGAAATGATTTGAACATTTGAAACTGGATACTGATTCTTTGTTGTTATTGCAGGTTGGTAAATCTATGACCGAACTAGATCGTCGAGTCCCACCGGTTGTCAAACAGGTCTCGTCCGAAGCCATTTCAGCTGCCCAAAAGGCTCCAGAGGTGGCTCGTGGCGTGGCTTCTGAAGTCCACCGTGCCGGAGTGTTGAACACTGCCTCAGGATATGCAAAATCTGTGTACACCAAGTATGAACCCACAGCGAAAGAGCTTTATGCAAAGTATGAACCCAGAGCTGAACAATGTGCCGTTTCAGCTTGGCGTAAACTCCAGAAACTCCCTCTCTTCCCCCAAGTTGCCTCGGTCGTCGTCCCTAGAGCTGCTTATTGCACGGACAAGTATAACCAGACGGTGGTCAGCAGTGCAGAGAAAGGGTACAAGGTCGCCTCGTATTTGCCATTGGTTCCCACTGAGAAGGTCGCCAAGGTGTTTAGTGAGCAGAAGATTGAGATGCAGCCATTGGGTTGATGATTCGGCTTTGAATCTGTTTTTGTGGTTGATGACCTGTTTTCTGCTAACCTGGTGTTGGTTAATATATGTTTTCACCCTAAAAAAATATTTATAGACCGTTACTATTTATAAACATACATATATTGAATGATTGAAGATAAGATATATACATATATGTCATTGTCGTTCGTTCGTATTTGTACAAATACATGTTTGTGACATATATCGTGTCTAATATTATTTTTAAATAAAATTTATATAGATTTTTAATAAAATTTTACAAATTATTTTTTATCTTTGATCTTACATGATGCCAGCGTAGAGAAAATTATAAAGTATTATTTTAGTAAATAAATATAAAATGAATGTTATTTTCATAATATTACGCCAATATTAATTGGAAGCCCAAGTTTCACATGGCCTCCAAAATGGCCCAAATCCGATACCCAAATTGGGGATATTATCGGGTCATTGTAGACCCGACCCACTTCTCCCACATTTCCACTAACAGATTGAAGCTCAACAAGCTCTATCTTTCGAACTCTACAACAGGGAGGAGAAATTTTTCAGCAGTTTAAAATAAACCACAGATATACAGAGGCAGATTCAGACCTTATAAGAAAATCATGTCGGGTTTCCTGCACGCGCCAATGGCTTACGCAATCCCGCCTTCACTTTCTTCTCAATCTGTTCGTAGGCCAATGACCATGAAGCTCAGTTGTTGCCGCGCTTTCGCTGCCAAAAACGCTGCTAAATTGCCCATTCCTCCGATAAACCCTAAGGATCCATTTCTTTCGAAGCTCGCTTCTGTTGCCGCTTCTTCCCCCGAGACGATTCTTAACCGTCCGGTTAATCCCGATACGCCGCCGTATTTGGATTTGTTTGATTCTCCTAAGCTCATGGCTACTCCTGCTCAAGTAAGTGTAATTAACAATAACGTGAGAAGTTTCGAATGCGATTGGATTAGGATTTTAATGATTCGAGCGGTTATTAAATTTGGATTATTCGAAATAATGCGAATTAATCATTTATTGGAAATTTGGAACTGGGTTAGGTGGAAAGATCAGTGTCGTACAATGAACACAGGCCGAAGAGCCCTCCTCCGGACTTACCTTCATTGCTTCTTCACGGTAGAATAGTTTACATTGGCATGCCGGTAAGTGATTTTAGTTGAGGGGTTTAATTTTTTTTTTGATGTTTTAATTGCCTTTGCCTTATGGAATTCAAAATTGTTCGTATAAACATTGAGGAACGAGATTGACTTTTTTGGGGGGCATTTTTAGTTCCTAGTTTCAATTTTGCTGCATTTAGCTAGAGTCTTGAGATAACCATTCTTTTCGTTCTTTTATGCTTCAGCTTGTGCCTGCTGTGACCGAGCTTATAGTTGCGGAGCTTATGTATCTTCAATGGATGGATCCCAAGCAGCCAATATATCTTTACATAAATTCTACTGGAACAACTCGTGATGATGGTGAAACGGTGAGCTTTTGAATAAAGAGATGCGATGCATTTGAATTATATAGCTTTTGCAGTTGTTACAATCATATGCTATATCATCTAAGACACGAAGTAAGCCAAGTTGTGTTGAAAGTTGGATTTCGGTAATTTTTTCTGTAGATTAAATGAATCATAACTGTGAAAAAATAAGGCTATAATATGAACCCGAATGGCCTTTAATCTTTTAACAGAATCATTTTCTTCTTCCTTGTGGAACTTCTTCTGCTTTCTGTTCACACCTTTATTATGTTCCTTGGCGTGTTTGTTTTCTCTAAGTTTGATATTCACATAATTTACAAGCGGTTGTGCTGCAGGTTGGGATGGAGACTGAGGGTTTTGCTATCTATGATGCACTTATGCAGTTACAAAATGAGGTAAATTTTCGTTCTTCAATGATCTCAAATTGTCTTCTTCTCCTTTGTTCAGTAAGAATATTTACTTTCTCTACCTGACTCTTGAGCTTTTCCTCTTTTAAAAGGAAAAAAGGTTCGAGGATGAGATGTTCTTACTGGTTGACTTTTCTTGGGTCCTGGTAACCGATGCTCATACAGGTGCATACAGTTGCTGTTGGGGCAGCTGTAGGTCAGGCTTGTCTCTTACTTTCTTCTCGAACTAAAGGCCATCGGTTCATGATGCCTCACGCCAAAGGTATGATTCGCTACTTGTCTGTGATTGTAAACTTTTTATTGATACTATCCTTAGTGTTTGCTTGTATTCTGTTTCAGCTATGATCCAACAGCCTCGTGTCCCATCCTCTGGCTTGATGCCTGCAAATGATGTTCTTATACGTGCCAAAGAGGTTTGGTCCTCAGCTCCGCTTTAAAGCTTTGATAGCCTTTTTCTAAGGTTGCAACTATAAATCCAAGATGTATTACGTATCTCGTAGACTGCATCTTTGTTTTGCAGGCAATAACAAACAGGGACACACTTGTTGAACTTCTTGCTAAGCACACTGGAAATGTGAGTGTAATGAATCAATGTTTCTTATTGTTGTATACAAAATTTTGTAAAACAAAGGTACTCGTTGACATTGTATGACTATATTTCATTAGTCTGTGGAGACAGTAGCCAATGTGATGAGAAGACCATTTTATATGGATGCTAACAGAGCTAAAGAGTTTGGGGTCATTGACAAGGTAAGTGCACTTACAAGTAATTTTTTTTCATAATTCATCTTTCATATGTAAATGAGACATCCGTTTTGGGTGCAGATCCTTTGGCGTGGTCAGGAAAAGGTGATGGCAGAAGTTGCTGCTCCAGAAGAGTGGGACAAGAATGCTGGCATCAAAGTTATGGATGGCTTTTAGTATCTGCCTGGTCGACCCTTGTCATTGTATGTAAGAAAGACCCTTTTCTTAACTAATCATGGTAGAGGCACCTTACCATCTTTTGAGGAGTCTTTAATATGAAGGAACACCATTATTTTATTACACGGTACAGATACGATAAGAATTTTGATGATATGTTTCAGCTGGAGTAGGTTGCAATTCGATAGAGCATACTCGATGGAGATGTGGAAAGCAGTGATGCACAGACAAATTTAAAAGTAAGATACCATATAAATGGTCCTGAAATTTTGTTGTCAAATTCTGTCTTTATCTCGCAGATTGTGTGATTGTTTTAGCAGAGTCATTTGATGCCATTGTTGAGCATTGCAAAAACCAGTTTTCTTCAATACCGATTGCATTTCCATTTGTTAGTACAAAGGCCCCCATGTTTCATCACCGTGTTTGCCAGAATCTTTGTGCTTACAACCAACAACACAGAAATTACATGTCTAATGCTTTCGCATGATGGGTTGATTTCGTACTGTTGGTTGATCTTATTAACTTTTGATGGCTAACATGATTAATATCTCCGCATAACAATACTTATATTATGATATATATATATATAACAAAAACATAATAACATATTATAGAATTAAATAAATTGGACCTATTCAAACTTTAAATGTTACTATAATTCAACCACAACTCAACAATTCAATTTTTATTACCTATCACTTTTCAAGTATAAAATGTTTTTAGGGTAAATAACACATTTTAAGTTAAGATATTTTTTTCTTTATTTTCTTGAATAGTTTGAAGTGATTATAAGTTAATATATGTTCAGAATTTTTTTAATATATTAACAATGTACGGTCGTTTAACAAACACAACTGCTCGAATCCTAATCTTCCAAGAAAATTAACATTCATTTTCACCGTTCAAGCCACTTAATAAGTTCTATATTTTTGTTAACATGACATAATAATTATTTTATTTATTGATCACTTTAGTAACTATATGTAATTTTAAAAAAAATTATAGTAACTAAAATAAAATGTACTACAACTACTATAACACTTACCTACGTTTTTATTCAGAACTTATAATCATTTCCAGATCTTTGAGATTAACAGATAACTTATTTTCAGTCAATAAGACGACGTCGTACATAATGACTGCAAGTAAGGGAGAGCATTTGATCAAGTCGTATAAAAAAAATTCGAGTTATTCGAGTTGACAAATCCTATTTTAAAACGTAAATTTTATATGAAATTTTTTCGAGTCAAGTGAAATTTATAAAATTTGAGTTGAATCAAGTTATCGAATTGTTCGAGTTTCTGTTTAAATTTAATTATAAATATTTATATTATCATGATACTATTTATTTCTAATTTAAAAAGGTTTTTTATAACTATATAATAATATATATGTATATATATTAACATTTTTTCATATGCAATAAATAAATAAATATATATATATATATATATATATATCTATATTATATATATATATATATATATATAATTGAAAGATTCTAACTCAAACTTAAAAATCAATCTTCAAATTAATAAAAGTTTTGAGTTATTGAAGTTATATATCATAACTGAATTTAAACTTAAAATTTTTTCATGTCCTAATCAATTTTATAAAAATACAAATAGAATCAAATTAAATTTAAAAAATTTAAGTAAAATCAAATAAAAAATATCACATTTTTTGAGTTGATGGGAATTTTATTCACGCCTAACATTAGGAGCTATAACCCCACAAGGGGGAAATGTTCCCCCCCCCCCCCTTTTATTTGACGGTTTCTTGAATAGTCAGGCCCGTGTTTCACTTACCAATAAGGGTTTTTTGGATAAGGGATTTGAGATTTTCATGAGAATGAAATCTACATTCTCATATTTGATTGGTTGAAAATCTCATTTTGGTAATATTTTATTACTAATAGTAGATTTTTTTGGGTATATTACTGGAATGTCATTACCTCTATTTCCTTATGTATTGTTGGATTACCAGCGTTTTGGACTAAAATGCCCTTAAATTTTTATTTTTTTCAAAAATATCATTCTCCTGTCATTGAATAATAAAAATTCTACGAAGGTTAAATTATAAATTTATCCTTAAACTATTTTAGATTTACAAAAAAATCTATAATTTAAATTTTATATAAAGAAATATATAAATATTTTAAAGAATATATATATATATATATTATGAATTTAAATTTTTTAAATAAAATATATAAATATTTTCTAGCTTGTTAAAAAAAGAAATATATAATAAGGACAATTTGGTCAAATATACATTCCAATAATCTTTTATTCCTTTAACCAAACACGGTAATCTTACATATCTGCTAATCCAACCAAATACAAAATACAACATTTCCAGTAATCTTACATTCCCACTAGTAATCTTACATTTCGTGAACCAAACGCACCCTAAAGTGGCGTTTGGTTCGCTGAAATATTTCTAAGGTGGCGTTTGGTTGGCATGAATCCCTTGGAATTAGGGGGAATTAGAATCCAATTCCACCACTTTCCCATGTTTGGTTCAAGTTTTCCAAGGGAATTGGAATCCCTCATGACTTCAACTTTCCGTCAAATAAGGGAAAGTGAATTCATCCATTCTATGATATAATTTAATTCCCTTGTTGGAGGGAATTGAAATTTGACCATACTATCTTCATCAATCTTTTGGTAACTTATTTATATATTGAATAAAATTTTTTTTTTATTTCAGGTCAGGTCGGGTTTCTAATTCATATATTCGGGTCGGGTGAAATTTTATTTTGGTCGGGTCATGTCGGTTTTTTTAAGTGTGATGTTCGAGTCGGGTCGAGTTCGGGTTTAGGGTGAAAAATACCCGACCCAAAAATATATATAATTTTACCTTATATTAGGAATAATACAATAATACCCCCTCTATATATATATATATATTTATTCAATTAAGTCACTGTTTTATTGAATAAAAATAATTATTTTATTATTTCGGGTCGGGTCGGGTCGGATTTATAATTCATATATTCGGGTTGGGTCGGGTGAAACTTTATTTTGGTAGGGTCGGGTCGATTTTTTTAGGTGTGATATTTGGGTCAGGTTCGGGTTTAGGGTGAAAAATACCCGACCCAAAAAATATATAATTTTACCTTATATATATTTAGGAATAATTACAATAATACCACTTTATATATTTTTTTATAATTAAGTCATTGTTTTTATTTAATAAAAATAATTTTATTATTATTTCGGGTCAGGTCGGGTGAAACTTTATTTTGGTCGGGTCGAGTCTCGGATGGAGGTTCCCTTGTTCTCGGATCGGTTCAGGTGGACTCAAAACCCGACCCAACCCGACCCATGGTCATCCCTAATTGAGATAATTTTAACTTATGATGTTTATTAGCATGATTTTTATAATTTATTGAAATGAATAATTAATCAATAAAATTTAATTTTTTTAAATTTTTATAATATATTGCTACATGTAATTTATAAAACAAACTAAAATTAAGCAAAAAAAAAATAAGAAGGGTAATCCTATCATTTGAATCTGTGAAGGAATTTGAATCTGTCAGGAATTGAAATCCAATTCCATATTCTGTTTGGTTGGCAGGAAATTGAATTGGAATTCAATTCCATATTCTGTTTGATTCGTAGACATGTCAGATGAATTTGATTTCAGTAATGTAAAATGACAGAATTACCCTTCTTGTTTTTTTGCTTAATTTTAGTTTGTTTTATAAATTACATGTAGCAATATATTATAAAAATTAAAAAAAATTAAAATTTAATTTTATTGATTGATTATTCATTTCAATAAATTATAAAAAATCATGTTAATAAACATCATAAGTTAAAATCATCTCAATTAGGGATGGTTATGGGTCGGGCTGGGTCGGGTTTTTGGTCCATCCGACCCGACCCGAGAACAAGGGAACCTCCATCCGAGACCCTACCCGACCCGAATATATGAATTAGAAACCCGATTTGAAATAATAAAAAAATTATTTTTATTTAATAAAAACAATAACTTAATTGGAAAACAAATATATAGAGACGAGTATTATTGTAATTATTCTTAATTATATAAGGTAAAATTATATATTTTTTGGGTCGGGTATGTTTCACCCTAAACCCAAACCCGACCCGACCCGAATATCACGCTTAAAAAAAACCAACCCGACCCGACCAAAATAAAATTTAACCGACCCGACCCGAATATATGAATTAGAATTCCGACCCGACCCGAAATAATAAAAAAATTATTTTTATTTAATAAAAATAGTGACTTAATTGAAAAAATTATATATAGAGGGGTATTATTGTAATTATTCCTAAATATATAAGGTAAAATTATATATTCGGGTCGGGTATTTTTCACCATAAACCCGAACTCGACCCGACCCGAATATCACACTTAAAAAAACCGAACCGACCTGACCAAAATAAAGTTTCACCCGACCCGACCCAAATATATGAATTAGAAATCTAACCCGACCCAAAATAATAAAAAAATATTTTTATTCAATATAATTGAAGCATGTATTTCAATTTCCTTGTAAAACTTAAACCAACCATAAAAAAGTGGATCGTTCTCTTTTTCATTTTCCTCCCTCTGCTTTCCCTCCACTCAAGCTCTTCATCTGCCTTTTTTTCCCTTTTAAACTTTTCATTTTAGATAGCAAGAAAGAAAGTTATGGCAGAACAAGAAACAGAGCTAAGCGACAAGCAAATGAAAGAGATCGCGAAATGGTTCCTCCTCAACGCTCCGGCTGGCGAAATCCAATACTTCGCCAGAATCTGTTTTCTTTCGATTTTAATTTGTTTATTCTTTTTGCAGATTTAAAATCGGTTTTGAATGATGACGATGTGTACGATGAAGCGGCATCGGAGGCATTTCCTGCTTACAACAAATCTCACATGATTTGCCTCGAAATGCCTGGTAGATTTGGCGATGTAAGTCTTTGAAATCAGTGTAATCTGTTTTGAGTGTTAATAATTTGTAGCTCAAAGTTATATTTCTAGTAAAATGAAGTCATTCAGTTGGTTAGGTTTTCAGCATTTTCAGCGGCTGAGTGTATTTGATATAAGTAAGATTTCTAGAAAATAGGAACAGCTTTCGTTTTGTTCATTTGGTGTATATTGTTTTTCCGAGAATTGTCTTTGCCTCTTTGTGTAGTTTAAGTTTGATTACGTGTGATAAATACAAACTCCTCTTGATCGGTTAATTGTGGTGAGGCAAACTTTCTGATATATGGAATTTTAGAGTGCCTTGATTGACTGCCAGTGCAGTGAGCATCCATCATTGTGTTTAATATGCGTCTTTTTTAATATTGGGTCTTTTTCACTTGGTTATGTTCCATTAGTCAACCAATTAACTCAGTTTCTCTTGTTTGCTTGTCATTCTTATCAAATATTCAACT